GCTGCAGTGATTAATCCATTAATCAATAAGTCACAAAGTGATCGGAAACTATTTTGATACTCTATTAATCATTGTGAGTCAATAATGTCTCAAATATGAATATTTGATTGTTTCTTTAGTCCCCTCTTTGGGTTGTGGACAAACGAGACATTTCAGGACGTGATCAACTTTTTCCCACCATCATTGATTAACCTACAGATTATCTTCTCCACTAATTGATTAATTGTTTTGCGCATACAGTGTTAGAGAAAATGCAAAGCTCACGTCTTCAGGTGTTCAATTTAGTCCGAGAAACAAGATGTTTGAGGACGTTTTCTGAACCAAATAACTAACTGATTAATGTAGAAACTGATGGATTAATGGAGTGTGTGTGTGTGTGTGTGTGTGTGTGTGTGTGTGTGTGTGTGTGTGTGTGTGTGTGTGTGTGTGTGTGTGTGTGTTCTCAGGATGCTCGTAGACCTCCTGTGTCTCTATCATCATCAGGCTGGTTGTCGCTCGCACTTTCTTGGCGTGGTCTCGTGCACGCCTTCAGAGCCAATCAGAGTCCGACTCCACAGAGGGGTTGATACCTCTCGCTCTCTCTCTCCTGGTCTCTCTGTAACCGGCCTCTATTTATAGACCCGCCTTTTTTAGATAAGATTATGTTCCATCCCCCGACCGGCCAACAGGAGGAGGAGGAGGGGTTAACATGCAGTTCAGAAAGGTGTGGAGAGGAGGAGGAGACAGTTTGGTTGGAGGCTGTTAATATTTTGTCATTATAACTTTCTCCAGCAGCGTTCTGTTCTTCTGTCTTTAATCAACCAGTGAAACCGATGAAGGTCCAACGGCTGCTGAGTCAGTTGGTTCATTTAATCAGCTGTAGTCGGGAAACGTTTTTTTAAACTTGTTAAAACTTAACTTCTAAAGCATTAAAAGGTGTTTTTAGGATTCTTTACGGGTTAAAACTTTATAAGCATCTCAGTGTTTCTTTATTGTTCTCTCATGTGACAGAGAATGACAATCTTTGGGTTTCAGACTAAAGATCTGCGTTTTTCACCAATCAATAAATGAACTGATAGTTGAAGGAATCAATAAATGAACTGATAGTTGAAGGAATCAATAATTGAACTGATAGTTGAAGGAATCAATAATTGAACTGATAGTTGAAATTCCTGAAGCTGCAGCAGAGTGTTGATGGTGTAAAGCAGTGAGCAGTCATCAGGGTGGAGACGCTGTCTGATGTGGGGGTGGGGAGTGTGGATGTAGACAGAGAGGTGTGGAGCAGGAGGAGGAGGAGGAGGAGGAGGAAGGGCGGGGGTCGAACTGTTACACCTCTGGTTTGACCAACTGGTTGTTTAGTAGTTAAATTAGCAGCTGAATGAGACAGTGGGTGAAGCTCTAACAGTCTCACTGCTGAGCCTTCAGGAAACGGCGTGAACGTTCAGTGAGTCAGCGTTTGGGTTGATGTCGTCAGTCAGGGGCTGAAGGTGTGTAGGTGAGTCACGGGTGGAGCTGTTGATGATGATGATGAGGAAGGATGATGCTCCGGGTTTTTGTCCCCAAAGACTAAACGTAACTACTTTGACTAAAAGTGGCATAACATTTGATTATTCGTTCATTCCTGAACATAAGGCCAACTTACTTAAAGTTTCTTGAGCTTTCAGTCACATCTCTTGGCCCTGATCACTGGACAGACTCAGTTCTGTGCAATGAAATCAATATAAAGTGAATATTTGTGATCAGTTCACTGAGATTTGATGAGTAAATCATCTCTGACGTCCACTGAGGAAGGCCAGATAATGTGTGTAAAAGCTCTGGAAACACCAGCTTCTCCTGTCTCTCCTCCTTTGTCTGACTCCCTTTGCTCGCTTCCAACATAAAACTCTTGACGACACGCCACGGTCACGTGATGCGCCACCTGTAGAGGCCGCGTTGGCGACCCCGCTTCCTAAGGTAACCGATAAACCGATCGATCGCTTTGTGAGCGCTCAAAACTGAACACGGAGTTCTCCCAGAGACACAGCGGAGGATGAGTGTAATATGAGACCAGGGATGAATAGCGCTAAAGTAGGACACACACACACACACACACACACACACACACACACACACACACACACACACACACACACTCTGAGCCCACCAGGACTGCCTTGTGGTCTCCTCTCTGGGTTTAAATTTAGGCGCACAGAGCAGCGTCTTTATATAGCTGTGGATACGCTATAGTTAGAGAGAGTAAATATTCCAGCTGCTTTACATGGAGACGGTGGTTTGACATCAGTCTTTAATGGTTCACACAATCATTACTGAGAAATAATCAATAATAATGATCTGTAGTTGCAGACTGATGGAGGTTAACTTCTTCTTCAAGACTTCAGTTAGAAAATGAAGACTAAAAATAAAGATTCTCTTTTTATTTATTTAAAAAGACATAAACAAACAAATAAATGTATTTTTGTGTGTTTTAAATACAAGATTATCTTATTTATTTATATATTTAAGATTTTTCTGAATGAAGTCTTGTATTGAAGGCAGAGCAGTGTCCCTCCTGTTGGTGTGTCAGTGGATGGTTTGAGTGTTAAATGTCAGAGGAAACAGTTCATGTACACAGAATATTGTGTGTGTGTGTGTGTGTGTGTGTGTGTGTGGTTTAAACACTACAGTGAGAGAGAGGAAATATTATCTTCAGTTCACACAATCATTTGATGGAGAAAATAATCAATAATTGAAATAATCTGTAGTTGCAGACTGTATTTGTGTGGTTTCTAAAAACGGTTGTTTTCTAAATGAAGTCTTGTATTGAAGGCAGAAAGTTTCCCATGATGCTGCAGGAGTGAACAGTTGGAGGAAGCAGTTAATGGTGAAACAGTGTGTCAGTGTGCGTTCTCCTCCGGCCTTCACTTTGTTACAGACGTTCACAGAACCGTGAGTTTGGAGCCTCAGCGTCTCCTCTAACGGGTCGGGGGGGTTCTACGAGAGCATCTTCTGGACGCACGTTGTTCGGGGGGTTTGTGTGCGTTGGTGAAAGTTTCCTGGACGATGAACAACGT